TGAATCTGGCACTTTTTCCTAATTCTATACCACACCATAGTATGTGTGCCCAGTGTTAGGTGAAGAGTCATGGAATAAGAAAGTATCCGGCAGGATGTTAAGCAGGAAGAGCCACAATCGTGGACTTCAGGCTCAAAAGAAAGCTGTGGAAGGAGAAAAATTCCCACCAGTTGGAAGCTCTAGCTTCCCACGGAGCGTGCTTTTGTTCTTGCTGAGTTGTCTAGAAGGACCAAGCGTGATGGGGGCGACACTACCTACTAGTAACACATCATCCACCCCCTCGCCCCCAGGACATGGGTGATGTGCTCGGAGCACTTCTGGGCTCTGCCTCGCTGGTGTGGAGATTTTACTCTCAACCTAGTCTCTCTGGCTTCTAATTCTTTCTGACCGGCATCTTTGGATCAGTTATTTCTTAAGGCAGTTCTTCAGGGTTCATCTCTGAGAGCATCCCAAGCCAGTGTCTATCTAGATGGCCCAAATGCCAGGACTCACATTCCTGATGTGCCTCCCATGCCTGTTTGCAGCATCAGCTCCAGGCCAGGTTCTGCCCACAGCCCCAGTGAGGCCCTGCCAGACCTGGGAGAAGATGCATCGCACCACTGAAAGGCACCTCTCTTTGTAAGACTAGAGTCCAGCTTATACAGTATGTAAATCAGTAATTTATATGACTGCCTTTGAAGAATAAACATACATTGCATTGTGCATGTGGTTTAAAAGCCATCAATTTAAAAAAAAAAAAGCTGATATTTCATTTACGCTGGTTTACTTGACCCTGTTTTTGCTTTTTTTTTTCTTTTTATATGAAATACCAAAAGCTCAAAACACAGAAAGACTAAGGATTTCTCTTGACTCCTGAGGAGCCCTGGAGTTCCAACACCCCAGTTTTCTGGGAAAAGAAATTGGATGGAGAATTCTAGCCCTTGCCTTCTGTCCAGATCCTGGTTAACAGAACAGCTCTCCTCTCAGTCTCCTAAGCTAGAACCCCCACTCCAGTGCCTGCTTCTGCCCACACGGCCACTGCCTTCATCTGTTCTTCTTCATTTTTCCCTTGGACTGTTATTTAAACATTCTGGGACGTATCCTTCTGTTACCAGTTTCTTCCCATGCACTCCATTTTCCACCCTGCTCTTAGGGTGATCTCTATCAAAAGCAAATCTAATCATGTTCTCCCTGGCTGAAAACCTCAGTCCTTGGTTTTATTCCCTGCTGGGGTGGGGTTCATTGTTGCTATCAACACCCATGGTAAATTCTCACACACAGGAGTCCTTTCACACTGGGGGACAGCTCTCCTTTCATTGTCAGAGAAGAGAGGCAGCTAAGGCCAAGTTCTCCCTGGTGTTCCCTCCCCTGCCCCGCCAGCCTCCATCAGACCAGTCAGCCTGACGATGGTGCCAATGTATGAAGTTTCTCCCAGATCTGAGCTGGGACATGCAGTGTCAAGATACAAAGTCTGGATACTTACTCCTTGTTCTTTTTCAGCACATGAGAAAAGGCCTTAGGTCCTTTTAGAGATGTCCTTTTGCCTCTCTGCTCCTGGGTTCGTCTCTCTGTGCAGTCTCCCCATGCTTCCCTTTTCAGTGCTTCAGTGTGGCGTCCTCACTGTACACCTTTGCCCAAGAGGCAGGTGCACCTCTTTCGGATCTTGCAAATTTGAGTGACATCTCATATCTCAGTGGGTCCCAGAGTGAGAGGTGAGGGGCGGCTCTGGCCCCTGGGTGACTGTGAAGCCACAGTTCCAGTTCACATTCCCTCTGTGGGGAAAGGTGGCTGACTTCTTTACATGGTTGTCTAACAGGCAACATAACTCCCTAAGCAGCAAGGGTTTTTTTTGGTCTGTTTTAGAAATGAGTCAACTCCATTTCAAGCCCCATGGAGGAAAGGGTTTTTCCTCCCATTAGCATGCCTTCACCTGGCCCTTTTTAGAAACCTACATGTCCTCATTGTTGGGTCTGGTTTTAACTAACAATCCTGGCTTTCCATGTAAAGAAGCCAGACTAACTGTAAGTGACTGCTGTCTCCGCTATTCAGGAAGGACACCTGGCCTGGACCCACATCTGATAGAAAGGGGAAAGCGAGGGGCTGATGGCACACCAGCCAAGCAGCCTGAACTCCTGCCATGAAGAACTTCCGGCCATTTGCATTCATTTCCCAGGGCTGCTGTGACAAATGACCACAAACTTTGGTGTCAAACAGCAGGAACATGTCTGACAGTTGTGGAAGCCGGAAGTTTGAAATTGAGGTGGCAGGCTGTGCCTCCTCTGCAGGCTCCAGCAGAGAACCTCCCCTCGACTCCTCCAGCTTCTGGTGCCCCAGGCAGCCCTGGGCTGCGGCAGCCCCTCCCCCGGCACTCCCATCTCTGCCTCCTCATTGGCACAGGCTTCTGCTTTGTTTGTCTTTCCCTTCTCTTGGGTCTCAAAGCTCCCTGTTTCTTTTAAGAGGATTCCTGAGGTAGTGAGCCAGGATAATCCCGGATGATCATCTCACAGTCCTTGGTTTACTTACACCAGCAAAGATGCCTTTTCCCAATACAGTCACCTTCAGAGGCTCCAGATGTTAGGATGTGGATGTACCCTTCGAGGGGCCACCATTTAACCCTATGCTGTCCTGACACAACCATGTCCTTTCACAGCTGTGCCTTCGCATAGCTTCTCTTCACTCTACCTTTGCCGTCTGCCCATCTGTTTTCCTCAATTTATGAACTTGTTTTAGCCTTAGAATATGAATGCAACCTCACTTGCTGAGGGAAGCCTTTTCTCCTCCTTGGATGTGCCGTGTTCCCTCCTGTGGGCATTGCGGTGCTCATGGGCCTGGAAGATTATTTCCAGCCCGAGTCTGGAAAGAAGCAGGTGAGATAAGCGAGCACAACACCAGGCAAGAGAAAGCCTGAGGGGTCAAAACAAGGGAGGGGGGCCTCCCTGGTGGCACAGGCGGTCGAGCACCACAGTGTGAAGCTGTCCGCAGCCTCTGCAGCGCGGGTTCGATCCTGGCTGGCCCGCGAGATACCCACATGGCATGCAGACCTCTCCTGTCTCGCCAGCTGCTCCCCTCAGCAGTGTGTTTCGTCAGTCTGCCTGTTCTGTTCCCGGCTCTGTCTCTGGTGAATCCTCTCACCCTCCCACGCATCTGGCCTGTACCCCAATTCTTGTATAAATAAATAAATCTTTAAAAACAAACAAACAAAAAACAAGGGAGGGACCAGCACAAGAGACTATGGTGATGGGTCATGGGAGCTGTGGTGGTGGGAGAAACTATGAGGGAGGAACTACGGGGACTACACCAGAGAGGAGAAATCAAATAGTGTCCAAAAATTAACAAAGATATAACATAATAATTAAAGCTATAAAGATATAATTAAAGGTATAAAACAATAATTTAAAAAATCCTCTCCTCTTTTTCACACAAACTCAGAAATTCTTGATATAAAAACAACCCAAGGGCCTATGATGAACAGTGACGAAAATGTGTTACACACATTGGAATATTACTCAACCATAAAAAGAAGGAAATTCTGTCATGTGGGATAAGCGGAATGAACCTGGAGGACATAATGCTAAATAAAATAAGCCAGACATAGAAAGACATATATTATGTGATTTTACTTATATGTGGCATCTAAAAAAGTTGAACTCACAGAAGCAGAGAGTAGAAAGCTGATTGCCAAGGGCAGGGGGCTGGAGGCCAGGGTTGGAGAGATGTTGGTCAAAGTGCACAAGCTTTCAGCTATTGGATAAGGTCTGGAGATCTGTGTACAATGTGGTGATTGTATTTCTTAATACTACATTGCATACCTGAAATGTGTTAAGAGTGTAGATTTTAAGTATTCTCACCACTCACAAAATATAATGACTATGGAGATGATAGATGTGTTGGCTTGATTATGGACATGTACAAATCATGACATTGTACACCTTTAATATACACAATTTTTATTTGTCAACTATACCTAAAGTAGGGCAAAAAAGAGAAACCTTTAAGAGGAATAAGGTCTTTCCCTTCCTGTCAAAGGTAATATGGGAGAAAGAATTGTCCCCTTTGTATATAGTTTCTATCAGTGCCTTCTCAGTTAGCTGTGGAGGCAGAGAGCAGGCGGACTCCTGAAAGATGGGGTCGGGGGTTGGGGAGAAGGAGATCACAAACACCAAAGACATCCAGGATGTTAGTTGATACTGCTTAGCCTCAACTCTCAGGGCTGGAGGGAAGAGGCAACTTGCCGCTGAAGAATGAATACTGAATTAGGAAACGTCAGTTTTAAGACTGAGTTCTGTCCTAACCTCTCATGACCTTTACTTTGCTGGGCTTTGCTTTCCTTCTTAGTAAGATGAGAGGGTGGATCAGGTGAGCTACAACAACTCCCTCGTTCTAGCAGTGCTGTCATCAGGAACATTTTGTTCTTTGGGATTGATTAGTACGTTTATACAAGACTGTCTCATCACATGAACTTTTAAGACCACAGCGGAGGAAATCTCCTCTGTCTACACATTTTTGGGAATCACTGGAGAGTTAACAAATACTTGATAGATACAAGGAGGCCAAACTCCAAGTGGCACTCAGGACAGAGAGACCATGCTGGCTCTTGAAGGACTTTATGATCTAATGCACATAGCTTCAAGAATTAGTATAATACAGGTCAGATAGTTATGCATGATGTGATACAGCAAATTAGGGGCAATCCAGGAAGACTTCAAGGAAGAGGGGACATTGTAGTTGGATCTCAAGTGTGAGTAGGAAGTAGGCAAACAGCAAAGGAGGAAAGGAGGGAGGGAGGGGCTTTTAAGCAGAACGACGATTATTAACAGAATTCTTGGCGAATGGGCTGATAGGTTATGAAAGATGCTAAAAAAAATGAGCCCAGAGGGGTATATTGGGGTCTAAATCAGTTACAGGAGGATTATTTGCTTAGGAAACTGAAAGGTCCAGGAGTAGAGCAGAATTCAGAATTCATCTATTTCAGTGGCTTAATTGTGTTCTTATAGTTTTTCTTTCTTTTTTGCCTTCTGCAGAGTCAACTTCATTGAAGAATGGTGCCCCTCCAGCCAAAAGATGGTTGCTAATTCACTCCTCCCTGTTCTTCCTGGTGGATGAGTCTTCAGTCCAGGAATAGAGAGGAGATTGCTTCTGGGAGCTCTGTTGGAAGGTTAAGGTAGTTACTTTCACAGAATCCTCAAGCAAATGTCTGCTTTTATTTCACTAACCAGAACTGGTTAGCAAACTGGTAGTTTGCTCATCTCTGAACCCATAACTGTGGCCAGAGGTGGCAGCTGTGCTCATCTGCATACACTAACTCACACGCACTCTCTATAGGTTGAGATAAGAGTTAATTTCTTCCAAACCCAGTGGGCTGCTAGTTTACAAAAATCAGCATGGTCACTAAGGGAGGAGGGATTAGATGTGGGTGATACAACACTTATTGTAGTTAAGTGATCTACTTGTGGCTAAAGACCTGCCACCAGGAGGATGCAGGGAGCAAAGGGAGATTACTGTGTGGGCAGACTGGTGTTTCTGACAGACATGGCGTCAGAGACATGGCGTCAGAGGCATCTGCTCTGGGGTGACTGTGATAGTGTTTCTCTGCACAGTTATGCTAGAACTAGCCCATGGAATGGCTGGAATCATCTCCTGGAGAGTTTTCCTCCTGTATGTGTTGTTTCAGACTATAAAACACCCAAGTCTTATTCTTGGGCCCTCCTGGACATTCTGTGAGGTGTGTAACGCCCTTTCATAAGCCCCTTTCTGTTTATATAAAGTGGAGTCTGTTGAAGACTTCCTCCATAGAGTTAGATGGTGAAAAGTTATTTTTATGGTAAAGAATGTGATCCTTATCCTTTTATGCAAAGGACAAGAAATATTGGCAGGTTTTAAATGGGAAAGTGGTAATGATGGGAAAGATCTTATTCTCCTTTTCAACACACCATTGCACTGAAACCACTTTTTTCAAGGTCAAAGTGAATTCCATTTTGCCAAAGCCATTGGTCATTTCCATTGCTTCTTTGGTTTTTGTTTTCCCCACTAAACTGCTTAGCAGCACTGATACAGTTAACTGTGCCCTCCTTCTCACTGCTTTCTTCTCCTAGTTCATTATGTGATACTCTCCTGTTTTCCTTCCACTTCACTAAGTGCTCTTTCTTACTATTCTTTGTTGGTCTGTCCTCTACTGCTAAACCTCTTGATATTGGAGTGCCCTGGGGTTCTTCTCGTCTCTTTTTATCCCTTCTCTCTAGAAATTCTGTGTCTTCCAGTAGCAAGCATGTATACCAATGACACGTAGGTATTTAGTCCAAACTTTCTGTTTCTATCTGGATTTGTACATCTAGCTATAGACTTTTCCTTGAATGCCCAATGGATACTTCACAGGTAACACATTCAAGGAAGAGCCCTCATTTTTCTCCTTCATTGCTCACAGTCAAAATGGAACCTCCATCCATTTAGTTGTTCAAGCCCAAAACTTGGTCATCCTTGACTGATTTTTCCTTTTCCCCATGCCACATCTATCAGAAAATATTATGAACTCTCTCTCCAAAACATGTGATGGGCCATCTTTTAATTTTATTTTCTAGCACTTGCATCCCAGCTTCTACTCCTCCTTTCTTACTTCAGTTCCCACCACTTCCCCCTTTCACTCCAGGGTCTTCTTTTTGTTCTTCACACAGCTATACTTATTTCTATTTTCCAGATCAACTCTTTGCTTTATCTGGAAATTCTCTCAATTCTTTGCACAATTTCTTTCTTGTCTCTAAGGCCTTAGTTCAAATAAGACCTGACCTACCACATAAAGTATCTCCCAACCCCAGTCTTTCTCTCCCAAGACCCATTTCTTTTTATTGCTAACCAGTTATCTGAAGTAATCTTGTCTATTTTGTTTACTTGATTAAAATTGTCTTCTCCCTCTAGACAAAAACAGGTACTTGCCTGTCTAGATCACTCATCATACCCAGAAAAGTGGCTGGCACCTAATATCAACTGAATATATAGTTGCAAAATAAATGAGGGCATGCTTTAGAAAAAAATCACTCTGCTGACAATTTGGAAAATAGACTAGAAGGGAAGAAACCCTGGCTTTAGAAAGTTCCCACTGCTTAGAGTGTGCAGTGTGGATTGAGCTTGGAAACAGTACAGTCTCTTGGAAAACCAAACCTTATAGGTTGCTTGGTGAAGTGAATTCAATAGGATTATAGCCCAGAAATGATTGAGGAGATTTCATCATTGATTCCAACAGCTGATTTTTTTTTTCTTCCCCTGTGCTATTGCCTTTAAGTGATTAGTTAAAATGTGGCCAGAATAGATTTCTGTATTTGGGTTGCCGACAGACACCACAAGTGTGTGAAAGTGGAATTAGATACTTTTCCCGTGGCAGCTCCTGACCCAAAAATCATGGACAATTGCTGCAAGGACAGAGTCACTCTCTGAGAGTGGTCTGGCAGCAAGGGTGAGGGGAATGAGCTGCTGTGGGTGCGCGTCTCTCCTCTACTCAGAGATGCTTTTGGCTGGCCCGGTGCTGGATAATGTGGGGACAATTCTTTTCTGTCCATCTCTTCATCACTGCACAAAAGAGCACACAGATCTTCACAGAAAAGGGGTTAGCCAGGCTCCGTAACTCTAGGATCCTTCTTTCTCTCTTTATCCCAGAGCCCGAGTTCTCTTGCTCTTTTCAAAGCACAGTAGAAATAGAAAGGATGCTTAGAAAAGTGGATAAAAAGAAAACAGAATAGAAATCTCCCAAAGCTGCCAGTTTTTTCTCCTGCATCCCATTTTATGCAGAATTTATATTCAGTAAAAAAATTTTCCAGGACAAATAAAAATCCACCCCAGTGGTAACTAGTCCCTTCTTTTTCTTCTTCTTCTTTTATTTATTTATTTTTGGGGGGTAGACTTTATGAAGTGATTTGAATTCTTAGGGCTTTTCCTACTTTCATTGTGAAGACTGTTAATTGTAAACCTCGTAATCAGGAGTGCTGGGTGATCTGAAAGGGCGGGTAAAGTGGACTTGAGGAGCTGACATAGTCCCCGTGCAGCCATGTGGAAGCAGAGCTCTGCCAGCCTGCAAGGACAGTGCCCTTTCTAAGGCATAAAATGCTGGATTTGGCAGCAGACATAGCAGAAAAGCGTAGAATTAGAAGGAGCACTGGGACCATGGTCTTCATGGATGACCTTGGGCCAGCTATTTAAGTTTTCTTAGTCTAGGCTTTCCTGTCAAACAGTGGGAGTAATAATGCATCCTTCCCCCAGGGGCAATGCTATTCTGAGACTTAAATGTATGTGTGCAAGTGCTGAGGAAACTGGAAGATCTCTGTGTATCTTAGTCATTATTTTCCAGTTTGTCAAATCAAAGTCTTAATCTAGAATGGATAAATCTATTCACAGTGAATGTTCATTCATTAGACACACTGATTGATGATGAGTTGGGATTCTGGATTCAAACCAGAAGACGGAAATAAATCTACTCGATGATATTTTAGAGCCTCTCCAATTTAATATGACTTAATTTGCATGTTTAGTATAGAACTTGAGTATCAGATTGGGCTAAAAACGTGGCTATTGAGATTTAGTGAGAAAAGATGGTTTTATTCATTCAGTATTTACTCAGTAAATATTTGGGGGGCACAGGTAAAGTGTTTATAATAGCACTTGGCACATGTCAAGTACTCAAGATATCCTCACCATTTTCATTGGTGGTGTTATTTGCCTGGTTCGGGTTAGATTTGGGGTTGTAGATATACATAGCCATGGTCTGTCTCCAGAAACTCTGAGACTAGTGAGGGAGACAGCTATGTGGGTTGGAAGTTACAGGAAAATGAGGCCAGTGAGGGGCAGTCAGTGACTTACTGGAGTCAGCCTGTCTATGTTTCAGTTATGCTACATTATTCATTAGCTGGGTGAACCTGGACAAGTGATTTCACTTTTCAGGGTTTATTTCCCTCATCTATAAAAATCAGAGAATAATAACTTTGATCATGAGAGATTATTGAGTGAGTAAAATTAGGTAATTATTCATTTGCTTATTTATCAAGCACTTGATATATCTTGAGTATCCATGTCCTAATCTCCAGAACCTGTGACTATGTTAAGTTACACGAGAAAGAGGCATGAAAGTTGTAAATGGAATTAAGTTGCTACCAAGCTGACCTTAGAACAAGAAGGTTATTCTGGATTAATGGGATGGGGCAGATGTCATTGCAAGGGGAGAAGGAGGCAGGAGAGTGATCAGAGTCAGAGAGATTTGAAGGTGCTTCCCTGTTGGCATTTAAAAATGGAGAAATAGGGCCTCCCTGGTGGCACAAGGGGTTAAGCACCACACTACGAAGCAATCTGCGGCCTCTGCAGCACGAGTTCCATCCCTGGCTGGCCAGGGAGCCACACACATGGTGCAGCAGACCTCTCTTGTCTCGCCTGCTGCTCCCCTCAGCAGTGTATTTCGGTCAATCTGCCTGTTCTGCTCCCCACTATGTCTGTGGTGAGTCCTCTCACCCCCCGCATCTCTGGCCTATACCCCAGCTCTTGTATGCATAAGTGAATAAATCTTAAAAAAAAAAAAAAAAAAGAAAATGGATAAATAGGGTTATCAACCAAGGGATATAGGTGGCCTCTGGAAAGTGGAAAAAGTAGGGAAAAATTTCCCCTATAATCTCCAGAAGGAATGCAGCCAAGTCTACACCTTGTTTTTAATCCATTGAGACCCCCTTCAAACCAGAGCTGTACAATAATAAGATCATGTTGCTTAAGTCACTAAGCTTGTGATCATTCACTACAGAAGCCATAGAAAACTGGTACAAAGGTGCACCATGTGCCACCCAACTCTGTTCTGAGTGCTGGGACTAAGCAGTCTCTTACATACAAACACCCTCCTCCTTTGAAGCTTAATTTTAGGACAAAGAACTAAATAGACAAGCATATATCAGAGGATAATAAATGTTATGAAAGAATATTAAAGCAGGGTAAGGGTACTGGGGGATAAAGGGATAGTATTTTGCACTGGAGCAGTCAGAGGGTCTTTGAATTGCGATGGCATTTGAACAGTAACCTGGGGTAAAAGTAACCTGAGGACTTGACCATGTGGATATCTGGGGCGAAGCAGCCATAGGTGAGACAGCTCCTCTCTAAGGGTCATTCCAGAAAAGGAATGCACCTCTGAGCCTTCAGGAGCCC